GTGATGGGTGTAAGGGACTGAGTCTCTGCATCTGGCAGGGCTGTGGTCGGTGGAAGCACATGGGCCTCTGCATCTGGCAGGGCTGTGGCCTGGATTCTCTGAAGGGTCCCTGCTCCTGCTTCTAACTACTCTAAAACATACTTTGTTTTGTGGTAGGAAGACGACAATGAGGACATCAAGATGACAACAAACGTGGGCAGAACAAACGCCACCCTGGTGAGGCTGGCAAGACTGGTGGGCACCGTGTTCCGGGGTAGGTCAGCTGGGCTGGCAGATAACAGGGGAGCCCTCTCTGCAGGAAAATGCAGGTGATAGCAGGTATGCAGAAAGTGGGATTCACCTGTGCTACCTCAGCAGAGATCACCAGAAATATACCTCCTGGAGTGAGAGTGGAAGAAAAGAGGGCAGATTTGGATTCCTGAGGGTATCAGGTAAGGGAAATAAGAGGGCTGCCTGTGAAGTGACTACATGAAAGACAAAGATGCAACAATGTGCAAGGACTATTTTCCAAATGGTGAAATGAGCAGGAATGTTCTAGAAATGTTAACTGTAATGGACAGTACAAAAACTCAATGGGGGTCGAGTGTGGTGGCTCATGCCTGTAATCTCAGCACTTTGGGAGGCCAAGGCGGGCGGATCACCTGAGGTCAGGAGTTCCAGACCAGCCTGGTCAACATGGTGAAACCCCGACTCTACTAAAAATACAAAAATTAGCCAGGTGTGGTGGCGGGCGCCTGTAATCCCAGGTACTCAGGAGGCTGAGGCAGGAGAATCGCTTGAACCCAGAGGGGCAGAGGGTACAGTGAGCTGAGATGGTGTCACTACACTCCCCAGCCTGGGTGACAGAGTGAGACTCCATCTCAGAAACAAAACAAAACAAAACAAAAACAAACAAACTCAGTGGGGTTCACTGGCTTAACTGGGAAATCAGCGAGCTGGAAGAAGCAAGCCAGCAAGTGTCCAGGTGGCCTAAGATGGCGGAATCACAGCAGGACGTTGACATGGAGGGCGGGAGCTGCAGGCTGTGGCAGGGAATGCAGAGGGTACTACCTGAAAAGGTAACGGCCAGGAATTTCACAGAATTAAAGAAAAACAGGAATCCACAGAAAGAAATTACATACCAAGAAGGAAAAAATGAAAGTAATTCCACACTTCATTGCATTTTAAGTGTCTGTCTTTTCTCTTGTGATGCTTTAAAGGGGTTTGCAAATGTTTCTGCAAAGGGCTAGCTAGTAAATGCAGGAGGCCTTGCTGTCTACATAAGGTCTGTGTTGCGACGTGTTTATAATCGTCTAAAAATATAAAAGCCATGGTCAACCTGGGGGTACACAGAACTACACTGTGGCCAACACCTTTCAATGCAGCACTTTGGAACGCTGAGGTGGGAAGGTCACTTGAGATCAGGAGTCCACGACTAGCATGGGTAACATAGTGAGACCCCATCTCCACAAAAAATAAAATAAATTAGCTGGGTGTGGTGGTGCGCACCTGTGGTCCCAGCTACTTGGGAGGCGGAGGCAGGAGAATCACCTGAGCCTTGGGAGGTTGAGGCTGCAGTGAGCCGCTATGCCTGCACTCCAGCCTGAGTGACAGAGCAAGACCCTGTCAAAAAAAAAAAAAAAAAAAAAAAAAGGATAGGAAAGCGAATACACTGCAGGCTGCAGGCTGGATTTGGCCTGGAGTTTGCTGATACCTGGAACACACCCTTCACAAGTCCATGGCGACTCTCAGAACCCAAAATAATGACAGGGGAAAGAAGCCCCTTTTCACCAGAGGCAATCAGAACCTTGTATCAGGAGCAGGCCACCAGCCACTGTGACTGGCATCCCCAGCTTCCCTCAGGCCCCATGGCCCCAGTGAGGCCTCAGCTGCCTGACACAGCAGGGAGGCGGGCACCTGCCCACATGCTGGAGGCTCACCTGCCCCTGCACACACAGCTGGTGGAAGACAGAAGCACCCACACGGCCACTGACTCCTCGACCTCCAATTTAGTGTGCAGCCACCAAACGCGGACTAGTAACTACGCAAAACACAGCTCATAAAATCCAAGGCGTCGCCAGACCTAAGACGCACCACATCTGTGCAGCACTGTGTTAACCGAACTTTGGCCTGTTACTGATTCCAAATTCCAGAGACGATGAATGCAATACAAGTGCACACAGAACAGATGCAATACGGCAAAGGCACGGATGAGTACCGCGTACGAGGAGGGTTTCAAATGGCTAGATTCTCTAGATACTGAAAGCTAATGCTTTTAGTCCCCATTGTGGTTAATCCTAGCAACTCTGGACATTTCTTTGTAAGATGCATCACCCTTTCACAGCAGTGCCTTTACATACAGAACATACCACATATTTGTACCTTTCACAGACGCTTTGACTCCTGCAGAAAGCAGGCTGCCAGGCTGTGGGTGGATGCCTGAGGTCCCTTGCTGCAGGGCCACCCTGGCTGTGCTGGGTCACTCTGGGGAGGCCAGGGGTGCTGCTGTTCTCCCAGGCCCTTCCCACTGCCTCAGGAATCACTGGGGCGCCTGCCCCGAGGGGAACCATTCATGTCTTTTTCACTTTTTCTTTTTTGTCTCCCTTCTTTAGTTTTCCGACAGCATTTTTGCTCTGACACAAGTTTCCAGTAAATGAACGAGCTCTTCCCTCTGCATCTGCAGTCATCTTTCCTCCTGATCTTGGACAGCCAGACAACCAATGCACATGGCAGTGGCTGCCTCGCCTGCACTCACCCGGGGGAGGCGGGGGCCTTACCTTTGTAGCTGTTCTATCTGCAGCACTGACTTCCTAAGGGATTCTTCCAACCTAGAAATCTAAGCAGAATTATACAGCCTCTTGTTAGCAGACAGGCTATGCTGAGTGACAGTGACCCTCTACATTTCTTCAACCGTGAATCTGAACGTAGGCTACTCTGCATGGAGTCACCCTCACACTGTTTATGAGTAAACCTGCCTTGAGTCCGGTCCATCAGGTACTTAGGAAATTGGGCTTGGGGGCCATGCAGAGCTAAGTCAAAGCCAAGCCTCAGGAGACAAGTTTTAGTGCAGCACCCTCCACAAGCTGGCATGATGCGAATTCAGTGTCAGCCCTGCCAGGGGAGCACCCAGCCTCAAAGTCAGACACAAGTACCTTCCACACTCCGTCACTGCCAGCCTCTGCTGTCAGGCTGGAACCTGGCCCTGTGTGTGGCAGCTGTCAGACCCCAAGGGAGTGACTAGATTCGGGGATCCCGCTGTCCTGTCTGCAATTATGGCTCATGACCATCCTCGAGGTTTGCTGGGAGGATTAGGAGGTAACATACACAAAATGTGAAAAGAGCTTAGCCCAGGCTGGCCCCTGCAAGAAGTCTCTAGGCAGGATATTGGGTGGCTGTCAAGGAGTACGATGGGGCTGTGGTGGCCTGGAGGGGTGGAGGAGAGAGGATGGCATGGGGGTGGCAGGACAGGGGTGGGGGTGAGAGGATGGAGTGGGGATGAGAGGATGGGGAGGGGGTGAGAGGACGGGGTGGGGGTGAGAGGAC